AGCGGAAGTGGGACACGCGGCGCTCCGGTGTCACCGGCGGGCGCGGGCTAGTGACACAATGAGGATGACGAGGGATAGCGAGGGAAGTGCGCGCGCGCGCGAGAGAGAGAGAGAACGAGAACGAGGTGACTTTATCTGGCGCACTGACGCATCATGACGAGCCATGACGCTCGCAAGCGACGGCGATGCGAGATAGTGTGAGTCACACGCGGAACGGGGAGAGTGCGAGAGATGACGATAGAGCGCGGGCGAGCAAAAGAGAGAGGGGTTGGCTTGAGCGCGGGGGTGGCGGGCGGAAGAAGAGGACGAGGAGGACGGAGGAGGAGACGAAAAGATCGTTATCGACACTTTCCTGTGTCCTGCCACGTCTCTCTTCTCAGAAGAGCCACGTTCGAGCTGTATGAGGAAACGCCGGCCATGAATAATTCATGGCCGTCGCCGAACCTCGCCGAAGAGCTCTGTGCTCCGCGCCGCGCCGCGGCGCGTCTCGTCTCGTCTCGTCTCGTCTCGTTGCCGGCCATTTTGCCGTTCTCCAGCGGCGCGCTAAGTTCCGGACAGGGTCATCGCGCTTGAAAAAGAAAACGTATGGAAAACGTGATTACGCGGGATTACAATCGCGCCCGTTCCGTGTCGATTTCGTGTAAACGACGAAATTAACACCGACGCGAACTTTTAGACGCCGCGGAAACGCGTTCTCGCGTATTATGACGCTCGGGATTATTCGCGGAATTTACCATATAAAGTTTCGACAGAATATATAATTTTATTTAAAAAAAAGAATTTATTATTCTTCGTACGAAAATATAAAAAAACACCTCGAGAAGTTTAAAATTAAGAAAATAATTCTTTCAATTGGACTATCTATTCGGGATGTCTTTTACATCGCAAAACATACAGCCCTGACGTCTCGCACCCTGCAATTGCATCTTGGTCCGTGTCACGGGAAAAGAGCGAGCGAGGAGGAAGAGAAGAGAGAGCGAGAGATAGGGAAGGACGAGTACGTTAGTTATCTTCCGGCCGTCAAAACGGCGCAAAGTTGTGCTGCTTGACAGAAAGACGAGAGAGAGAGAGAGAGAGAGAAAGAGAGAAAGAGAGAGAAGGAGAGAAGGAAAGAGGAAGGGATATAGGAGCGGGGGTGGACAGAGACGTATCTCGGTCGCAGCAGCAGGTTGCTGAGAAGACTCAGTGGCACAGATACCGCGACTCCTCAATGTCACAAGATAGCGGGAGACTCACTTCGTCCGAGAGAGCCGTCGCGACGCCAGAAGAACGCATCTCGTGCGATCGCTCCGATGCACCTTGCGCCGCGTGACACTGCGCCGGGTTCGTCACCCACGTCACGTGACGTTCTTCAAGGCCGTGATCGTCCTGCGGCCATTTAAGAGCGTTTCTCGTACTTCCACACGAAAATCAAATCTTTATATGTTATTTTAATTTTACATCGCACTGAAACTCTTGTGCCAAATGTAATTTAACTAAATTCGATTCTCACGACTTATCAAAAAATTTATCGAGCAATTAAACAACAATATTATAATTCAATTCTTGTTATTTAACGTAAAATTTTACAACAAAATGTTAGTTTTTAAATCGATTACTTTTTATTAATATTTTTGTAACTAAAATATTTAAAAAAAAGTAAAATCTCTTAAAAGTAAATTTTTATCTATCTCTTTCTTTCTTTCGATTCTCTTTGATTGGCAAAATGGCGTTAAAGCGCGATCAATTCCTTTCATTAGTTATTTAACACAATCAAGGTTACAAAACTAAGGAAATGAAAGGCTAGACTGGTTTGCGTTTCATTCTATGCGTGGCGGCAATACTCCGGAGCCACCTACATTCCCTTCCTACGCACTCCTCGCTACGACTTTCCGATAACGCGAAGACTGAATGATGCATGGGAGGATTAATGGTGCATCCCGGCGGCGGCGGCAAATGGACGCGATCGGAGAGAAACGGAGGAGCCCCCTTCCCGCTCTTCCTGCCCGCTCGTTTCGACGAATTTGGACGCGCTGTTGCAAGTACGAGATTATGGCTTGTTATGCGTGCGTGACGCATGTCCGCGGATACGAAGGTCGATTCGGAAATAATTTTATCTCGCGGCGCAATCTAAACACGAGAGAGCAGCAGAATTTGTGCAAAAGCACAAGAGAGAGCCGGCACAAACTTGCGGCACGGCCGCCGCAAGTTAAAACCGATAACGTTTATTGTGTAAACAAAGAGAGAGATTAATTTCGCACGATACTCGTCAATATTTTTTCGATAACTTCGGCATGAAAGTGATGATAAATATGTACGTTTCTCTTGCGGAAGGAATATCAATCAAAGTATATTTGTCGCGATACTCCGCGAAAAATAAACAAATAAAATTATTTACTTGCAAAATAAGGAAAAATCTTTCAATTAATTAAAAACCAAAGAGCACAATTTTGGAATTTCGTGCGATACAAATGTGGTAAAAGTTAATGTAAAGATTCGCGATCGATCACAATACAATCGCGCGATCGATAATCTTGCAATTATTTTTCTTATAAATTTCTGAAACAATATAGATAACGACGATCGTTTGGCGCACTGATTTACAAACGATTAATATTAACGCGCACTTTTTGATCCTCTTTCGCGATAATTTAGTAATTAAAAGATAAAATCCGCGGTAGGTGGGAGAGGAGCGGCAATTAATGTGCTGATATCGAACACTTGGGGTCCGATAAAATTCGATTATCTGAATAGGAGATCGCTAGAGAGCGAGTTCTCTATGTTGCGGACTGTCGATCGGTGTATAGTATATTCACTCCTCTCGCAGTCGTCGTCGCCAGAAGATTTCGAGCTTCCTCATCTGTTTATCTTTTTTTCTCTCTTTCTCTCCCCTCTTTTTTTCTACCACTTTGGAGAGAGGAGGCATAAATATTGACGATCGATAAGCGATTAGCATAATGTCTGGCGATGCGCTTGCGATAAGCGCGCGAATGCGCTTAACCAGAAACAGCGGTGACGTTTTGATCGCGCCGCCGATATCAGAACCGCCGCCGCCGCCATGCTGTCGAAGCTAAAAACCTTCAACCCTTTAACATACCCTCCCTCCTATCTCTCTTCTCTTGTGAAATCCCTCGGTATATAAATTCTGTTCCTCCTTCTCTCTCTCTCTCTTTCTCTCGTTCTCTCTGAATTAATCGTTTTTGTCAAATAATAAAGAACGATTGAAACAAAGACGTCGATACAAGTGAAAAAACGAATCGTACACGATAAAATGATTTTCAGAGATGATATTGAATTTCTATCATTGATTTTTCTCGAATCGCAATTATCGTATACTGATTTATGTCGATAACACAAGTTTAGTGACACGTACATGCGCTTGCTGGAGAACACAATAACAGACTTAAATATAAGATATTAAGCGATATAGACTTGACAAGAAAATAAGCATCATTAAGCGCGTAATATAAGCAACAATTTACTGTATTTCATTCTGTTTGGAAAATATATATATATATAAAAACTCAATGACTGTGCCTTTATTAAGCCTTACACGTCACTATTGTGGGGCTTCTTGCTAGGTGATCTTTTCGAACGAATCGCCATTATAGTGGCTTCCCGCTAAACGACATTTTAGAATAGCCACTATAGTGGCTCTCTTCTTTTTATCTCGCACTGAAAGTTGTATACAATATTGTTACGCGGGAATGTAAGTTTTACATTTTTTACTGATAATGTTAAAAATTCGCATTTTGCAGCAGAGCTGTCCGTACAGCAGTACAACTCTACGACGAAGTCGTAGCAAAAGGATTTAATCGGAAAAAAAGAAAAAAAAAGAAACAATCTCATTAGTCAGCGTCGTAACATATATGTATAAGCAGTTACATATTTACGCCTGTGGATGGCTTGTAAAAACAACGCAGGCCTGGTAAGCGCGGAAAATTCAGGTTTGAAGGTCCTGGTCCGGTTATTTATGTTAAACGCTTTGCTACAACTCAATCGCAAACATAGAATAAGTTTTTGTTTCTATTGTAAATCATAGTAATTCATAGTTTGTTTCTTAGTCTTATTCTATAGAAACTGTCTTATATCAAGCATAGCTAAAAGAAAAACGCAGCTCATGCTACATATGTTAATTATTTAACCCCTTAGATTGCTGTAGGCGGATATGTCTGTCCAGCAAACACCGTTCGATATGGCCTAAATGTGGATATATCCGCTCGCAAAAATTTTCGCTGAAAATAATACTTTTGAGAAGAATTCAACTCAAGAATTAAATTCAAGAATTAAATTTATTTAATAATTTAATTTAATCTCAATTTTTTTTGGGAATTTAAATTTAATAATTGGAGTTTGTAGAATTATACGCGGAGTCACAAAATTAAAGATTAAGTTAAATTATGTTTTGCACAACCACTCGATGAGTTTAAAAAACTGAATAGAGAAAGATTAGGTTAGGTTAGGTTAGGTATGGAGCGTTCAGTTGTTTCCGTATTCTAAAAGTTAAAACAGGAATATAATCATTCTTGAATTGATTGAATTTTTGGAACACGGTATAGTAAATGATACTTAAAGTCTGGATAGTTCAAACTTAAAAAACAGGTGCTCGGAAATGTTGGACTCACTCATCACTGCCAATATTTGTTTTATTTAACACATACTGATATTGATCAATTCCTTTTTCTCTTAAACATATCATATATTTATTTTGTAAATATATTATATATATATATATATATATATATATATATATATATTGTGTAGATTAAAAACTTATTAATTTTTATTAGAAATCAACAAATATATTTTTTTACAGAGTATGCATTTCAACGAGAACATTTCACATCGATCTCTCTTCTCTCGTCAAAAAGTATTAAAATTAGAAAAGAATAACAATCAACAGAAAAAAAATCAAAATCAAAATTATTTAACAAAATATTTTTAACAGTTAAACACTTCAAGGGTATTTTGAAAAATTAAAAGAAATAACGAATGAAAAGTGTAATAGAAAAAAATTTTATATTGAACAGACACGAATATATATTTTCTCTAAACGAGATTATTTCTCTCTTAACAATCGCACGATTAACGGACCACAGAGCTCGCGCTAGTGTTCTGCGAGACACCCGGTACAATCGGGAGGGCGGGCTTAATGTAACATTAAAAACGAACGACGGCGGGCCGCTTTATCAGTCATTTCCATTTCTTGATAACTGTTTCTGCTTATCGGGATCCGCTCGCTTGGCGTTGCTCTCCCGCTTCCTCCCCTCTCTTCTCCTTCTCTGCAATAGAGCTCGTTCTCTCTTTGGCATCGCGCTCTCGCTCCTTTTCTCTTCCCCGTCTTTCTCTCCCACTCTCTCCTTCTATCCGGTAATAACTTCACCTATCGCCTTCATTGATCTCCCTATCACTGTTTTATCTCGCTACAATGGCGTCGCGGCGAGTGGGCCGAACCGCCACGTCCGTCTCCGAGCGGCGACTTACATGAGCGAGCAGGAAAGATCGAATCCTGATGCGAGGACGTTCTCGACGAAGCCGCTGCTGTTGCTGTTGTTACTGGCTGTCCTGTCGATCGAGAGGACGACTTTCCGGGCGCAGCAACAACAGTCCCGTCCCTCACGGCTTTGTCATGTCTATCTAGATTTTATTATCAGACGATATATGTAATTCAAAAAGAGAGAGAGAGAGAAAGAGAGAGAGAGAGAGAGAGAGAGAGAGAGAGAGAGAAGAGAGAAGGCGGAAATATCTCTGATAGAAGGTGGAAATTTGAAACATGCCTTTACTACGTTCGTTGTAATAGACAACGTTCTAATATTACTCGCATACATTTTTTATATTATATTGTATAACTTGAATGTTCTTAATTTTGCAATTTTAAGTTGTTTCTCTCGAAAAAGAAATTTTATGCAAACACTCATGAAGTATCTCTTGTTTTCACTTTTTTTTTAAAATGTGGATAATGACGTAGTTCTCTAAATATTATTTAAATTATATACAAAATCTTATTTATGCGTTCACACATTTTATTGATTCGTAAAACTATTCTCAGAAGTATGATAATTATATATTCAGTTTTCCGAAAATAGACACGACTAAACACTTAAACGCGGACGAACAAGACGAATCGAGCAGACGACAAAATCTGCGGCGAGCGGAGCAAACGCACGGCGCGACGGCGGCGGCGGCGGTGGTGGCGGCGATCCGATAAACTCGAACGAGGACGAGGATATCCCTAATCTTTCGGCGATCTATCGCGAATGAGCCAAGTATCTGCGAGCGACCACGGTCCAGTCTGCTCTCGACGAGGTTATGCTGATAGAGGTCTGGCTACATTATTCAACGCACACAGACACGCACGTGTGTGTGTGTGTGTGCACACACACATAAGCAAACAATTTGGCTGAAATTTCATATCTTAAAAAAAAAAAAAAACAAAAAAACATCTTCTTGAACATTTAATCGAACCTAAAAAAACTAGACGATTTGCAAGCAGCGCTTGTCTACCGACGGCCTATTAATCGGCTTACGCGCCACCGAGCCGGCGCGGGCGCCGCGCGCAACAGCGTCGCGTATATCCGCGTCAGAATGAAGCCAAATCATGCGCGCGGCCGTGGTTCTGTTTCGAGCCGATCGGTTCAAGCGTTGAACACGTTTGTCTCACGACAGCGTGTATTGTAAAATAAATGTGACGTCACGCAAAAATTTAATTTCAACTTCAATTTAAAGTTTCGAGATTTGTGATTTCAACCAAATGCGATGATCGAATTTTGCGCGTTGCTTCTACCGTCTAATTACAAATGGTAATGTAACTCCGCGATTGAAGTTGTCGATTCGAACGTAATACGTAAATGTTTACCACGCCTGACAATCGAATTGTAATATTCCACGTTCCTCGAATTTACGAGCGCGATAACGAGAACACTCGCGCGCCGCCGGATCGGTCGATATTGACGATGAGAACGAGCGAGCGAGCGAGCGAGCGAGCGCCGATATCCCATCATATCGTATGTCGTATCGTATCGGTGCGAATCGCTCCCGAGAAACCCAACGAATTTACATAACGATATTATTAGCGAAAACGATCGAGGCGTAAATAAGTATACCGACAGTGTGTGGGCAACACGACTGTGTGTGTGTGTGTATGTGTGTGTGTGTGTGTGTTGAGGCAAATTCACTCGAACTTGACGATTTCGTCGTCAAAAAACCAAAACACTACATTTCTCGACAAAGATAACAGATACAATGTTTTAGTTTTTCCAAATAAAAATATCGAGATAAACTACTCAAGAAACTCGCGCCGCGCTACGAACTTATCTCAAATATTGCAAAAGTGAGAAAATTAAAATATTTAAATATATAATATCGCGAGATTGTATAAAGAAACTTTTGTGTGACGATTCTAATACGCATAAATAATAATAATAAAGATAACAGAAAGGTAATCACAAGTAATCAAGTAGTTTTTCCGAAGAAAAGAGAAAATAAAGAGGGGAAACTTTTTTCAGATTCCGAAAGTTCAAGGAAATTGTAGGAATGCGCTAACAAGATTGCAGCAGATACAGATCTCACCTCAGACAGGCCATCAATAATCTCCAATTAATAAGATGGCCTCGACAATGATAATAACAACGATAACCGGCAGAGTAGACACGATACTTTACAATCAATGAGAAACGAGCAAAAGAAGAGAAAAAGAAAAAGAAATGGATAGAACGGGATGAAGAAGCAAAAGAGGAAGATAAATAGACGGAGGAGGAGGAGGAAGGAAGAAAAGAAAGAGAGTGAGAAAGAGAAAGAGAAAGAGAGAGAGAGAGAGAGAGAGAGAGAGAGAGAGAGAGCCGGAGGAGAGCGAAAAGGTAGAGCTCCGAGAGATCCTCGTTAACGATACAGCGTTATCGGCCGAGAAATCGGCCGATCGTTACGGCAGATTCAGCGCGGCCGGCGCGTCTAAGACGTAGAAATTAGAATGTATTCATCAAGGCGGCGGAATTTTAACGGGCCTGTATATTAATTAGCGACGGGAGGTCGATTGTGGAAGGGAGAAACGGGAGCCTCCGCGCTCTCTCTCTTTTTTCCGGGGTCTTATTTAAACCACCCTCCCTTCCCCCGTATGCGATGCGGCATCTGCGTCGAATTGCGATGTCAGTCGCGAGTGCTTAATTAGCAATCAGCGCCACGATCGATCGATCGATCAATTGTCTCAACTTTCCGCGCGACATGAAATTCTCGATACAATTATGCATTTAGATTTCGCGCAATCGAATTTTTCAAGCATTTAATTCACATGTAAACGCGCGATATGTGTCTTGTAATAAAATCAAAGCTTATTCTCCATATAATTGCATTTTTAATTGCAAGACAACGTTAAAAATTACATCATAGAATATATTAATTGCGCAGGATTCATATCGTTCGCACATCTTTTCTGGTGGAGCGCTGCCATCTAATTCGCATAGCTTTGCGTTCACAGTTCTCGTTCGCGCGGCTAATCACGCGAGAAGTGCCAATCAGCGCGTGGATTTCACGTGACGACTTACCTGCGCGGTTTCCAAATTTTTTTCTCGTACTTGCGCAAAAAAAACTCGTTTCGTCACCGCCACATGCTTTTAGATCCCAATCGATACTCGTCATTTTTTACACATTTCAATGCGTCGAATACATCACCAAAATTATCATTCGCAACGTATTGTCGATAGCGATTTTGCGATAATTGTCGAACGATATTCGCAACCGATTAATAATCGTATACCGATTTCCGTGCTTCAATCGAACTGTGACGTCATATTCAGTTGCATTCCTGCGTGCATTATTTTAATGAGTTTCATTGAAATTCACGTGCGAACCGCGTTGCTCGAACTAGCGACCGTTCCTAGCTTCAGTGATTGCCTTACGCGCGCTATTCGGTTTTTTGCTATCAACCTATAATTTAAACATTGACAATCTCGTGTGTGTTAACACATCCGACCGCAGCAGGATTTTTGTCTAATATATTCGCTAATATATTCATTAATTCGTCGACATATAAATAATTTACCGTTGCGAGCGGCACATACTGTCTGCCTCGAGAGTTTAACACTGAATAAATAGTATATTATAAACCACTACTCGGAAATTGTTTTTTACAAGAGCATTCGGCGAACTTTCTAACAAGGCTGTAGCTCTTTCGTGTTTGAAAACCCGAACATAAATAACATTATAAAAACACTCAATTTTTTTGTGTATATTTTCATTTAATATTCATTTAAATAATTTATAGAAAATAAAACAATTTTCCTTTACGTGTTTCAAAAACACTCGAACATAAAAATATTTGATTCGTCTCATATTTTTACTAATAATATTTATTTTACTTTTATTTTCTCATATATTTTTATTTAATAATATCTATCTGAATAATTTATGGAAAATAAAAATATAAATGTATTTTTCTTCTGTTCGTCGATAGCGTTTTGAGAGGATCGAAAGAGAAATCGATCGACGGGTTGCAAAAACGGCTCTTGGCTTATCCTCTCTTGAACGAGCGGGTAGAGCACACCGTGTTTGGCATCGATAGGACGGATATATCGAGGACGACGTCGCGGGGCCACGTCAATCGATAGCGGCCGTTCGATAGCCGAGGGCGAGGGCCCACCTCCTCCTCCTCCTCCTCCTGCAGCACGTACTTCCATCCGCGCATAATCATCGGCAATAAATCTCGGGTTGCATAAGTGTAACGAGAGATACGGGATCGCAACGCACACAGCCCGAAGCGAAGCGCATCGGCCAGGGCTGCAACGATGCAACTCAACGCGCGCGCGATCATGCACACGGGCAGAATCGTGAGAGAACGCGGGGAAAGTCGAGAGAAGCGCACCGTGAAATTCGCCCAGGAGGACAGAAAAAAAATATATATCTTGCCGATCTGCTCTCATCTGTTTTTTATTTTACATTTAACCGAAATGTTATCGGAATATTCACTTGTTATCAAAAACTTTTTTTTACTTGAAAAAAATCGACAAACTAGAAAAAATAAATTTTATTCCGCGAAATAGAAAAATACGTAATTTTATTTATTTTATTGTCTTAAAGTTATTAAAATGAGAATTATCTCAGGCTCTGTGATCTTCTTTAAGATTAATTAAATGTAAATTGTCAATAAAGAGCCGTCGCAGGATGTTGTGCGGAAAATATGCCTGTGTATATATATATTTTATATACATATTTTATTGTCTTATTTCAGTGCCGAATTATAACAATTATATTATTATTAAAAATTACATTTTCTCAGAAAATTTTACATAAATGCTCGTCCCATTGTAATTGTTTCTCATTACAAACTTCGAAAAATTATATGTCGGATTTTTTTCGGATATTTCTTAATCTCGAGCATCAAAAAGCAAAAGACTGAGATCTTCCGGATCTCTTTCTCTCTCTCTCTCTCACACACCTTTTCAGAGTCGCGCGATTACGTGTACCGAGGGGTATAATTAGGAGCGCGCCAGGATACGCGCGTTGTTAACGGGTGTCTGAATAGAAACAATCGGGCATGTACGCACAATGGAGGAAGCCACAACAAACCCGCCACTTAATCGAAGTTACTATACCGAGAATGCGCTTGAGAAACGCGCGATATCTGCTGCGATATTAAGCATTTCATAAAATGTGCGCACGCGATACCGAGCGTCGATCCCAACACATTCATGATCACGACTTCGACTTATAGTTTAGAATTAAAACTAGAATTTAGAATATTTTATATTAAACGGAGCAACAAACGACATTACAGAAGAACTTACAGAAAAGTTTATTTTTCTTTATTTTATAAATTAAAAATATTTAAAATATGAGAAAATAAAAATACGTATGTAAGATAATTTGTTCCCTTATCGGTTTACATTCATATCTTAATTATTTTTCTTCTCATCATCACCGTTTTTACTCGATAAGATTCGCTTCAGCGACTTTTATCTGTTTTACCACGGAGAAAACTCCCGACATCGTTCCGAATAGTCGATGTAGGTGTACAAACAACGACCGACAAATTGTTATCCGACCGCGCTAAAGTAAGCAAGAACATTAACGTGGCTATCAATGACACGCGTGTTATCGCGCGAAAATCACAAACCTGCGAGCAACCCTGGAAAAACCTGCGCGAGCGACGAGTTTTATGTATATATCGGGTCGCGAGCGCTCGCGCGCGGATGTTTTAATGCGTTGCAAATCGACAGATATCACCATCAGCGACATAAAGTTTATCGCAAGGCTAACAACAAATCGTAATCTGCACCGCATACCGACTCGGTATCGCCGATATAGAAAGACGAAGGAGAGACAGAGACGGGGGAAAAAAAAGAATAGGATTGTTTTATTGTTCTGGGGCAGCCCCGGTCGCGCGGAACACGTTGCAGAGATAAAGACAAAACATGCGATACGGCAATACACACACAAGGCGTTCGCGTAATAAACAAATGCGAAAAATACAAAACTAAAAAAGTAAGAAAAAAAAGTATATACATATATATGTACTTTTATATACATATATATGTGTATATATAAAAGTCACGATGTAATGAAAGTCTATTATCGAAAGTTTATTATCGAGAGAGTTGTGTAACTCTAACACTTTTTTGTATCTCTCGAGTTATCAAAGTTCCAAATTAGTCGCGATATTACTTTTGAAACTTGAGCGTAACGTAATACTTTGACGTAATTAAACAATCTACGGCAAAATATATCTGCATAAAAAAACAAAATGTGCGCTCTATTTCAAATTTAGATAAATTTCAAATTTATATATTACGCAATTTTGCATAACGTTATGTCGCAATTGTAGAAAGAACTGATTTTAAATGTGTACGAAAAGTTCGTGGAAAAAAAAAATACTTTGTCTCTCTCTCTCTCTCATATTTATATGTAAAGTTTAATCCAAAATTTGATTGTTTAAATTGAGATAATTTTTGCAAACTCTGAATTATTTTCGCGGCTGACAGTTATAATTTGCTTTCTGATTTATTTGTTCACAGTTTTAAGTTGACAACTTTCTACAGGACAGATAATGAGCGATGTGAGGATCTTCTTGAGCGATATATACTTCTGAAACGTTCACTTATCAGCGATAATTTTCATCCTTTCCGACGCGTTGACGAATGGACGAGTTAGAAACAGCCGATGCTGAGCCTGTTTAACGCTTTTTATCTATGCTGCTCGCATAATGAATAGCAATTATGTTCCGGTGCGGTAGCACACCGACATCGAAAGCGGATGTCCATCGCTCGTGAAATAATGAAGTTTGGTTTTGACAATCGGCAGTGTTTTCTTTCAGAAAGGATATTATACTCACTAATGGGAACGGGCGTTAAGGACGTCGTCAGATAAATATACATTGATATCCTCGCGAATTGTGTGCACGTGACGATGACTCATCTCAGACTTACCTGCAAACATAATAAAAACCCAAAATTCAATTAGCAAAACAAGTTCAATTTCTACAATAAAATATTTCTACATTTCTTTTGCGTGCTTTCTCCTAATTGCAAAAATACAACCTAGTTAATTAGAGAGAGAAAGAAAAATAAGATCATATAGAATCCGAACGTTGCGTCAAGAAACAAAACGTCGACTGCGCGCAACGTGTCATGTGGTATTTTTTGTAGTTATTACACAGACCCGACACTGTTGTGTGCCATTTTATTTGGAATGGAGCGAAGTCTGGAGCGATAAAGCACCAACCGCCGGCTGATATGCATGCTGACCCAGAGGATCGTTAATTATCAGTCAGCGAGCATCGATAAGCATCGACGACGGCAGCGGCGTCGGCGACGCATTTTACCGTATCGCGCGTATTTTTAACAACGTTTCGCCTGTTTATTCTGCCGATCGGAAGTCGCGGCATGCATGCGGGCACCCGTGCTCTCGTTATCGTTATCGATTCTTCGCCGTCGACGACATCCGCGAATAAGAGCCAGAAACTGCGCTCGGAATCTTTGATATAATCGCGCGTACATTCAACCAACTATTCATCGGTTCGATATTGTCGAAAAATTTACGACGAAAAGTTTACGTTTTCCGCACATAAGCGGCTATTTTCTTTAGTTTTTTAAACTCTTTGTTCTTAGAAATATTTTATATTGAAAAAAGTTCTTTCAAATAAATTTTTTTAAATACAAAAAAACTTTTGCGTCAGAAAACGCTAAAAATTGCTTCTGTCACAGAAAGTGATTTTTTAATATAATTTTGATTCGGTTTAATACGCGCGCGTCAGTTCTTTTACTACGCAAAATCGTCGTATTTTTTATACAGATCGAACGCGTTTGCGTACACGCGTCTTCTAGTTAAAGGGTTAATAAATCTCGCGGACAAGAACGTCTCTCTCGTAACTCTCTCGTCGAGCTATAACTCGAAATAGTTGGCGTGGCTTATCCGAGGCCGATCGACCACGTCGTCGGTTACACGATGCTAAAAGACACCACTCCGTCTGTCTAATTGGTTTTTAAAATCGATCATCTTCCGAAGAAAATCAATTCAAACGCTATCCGTTATTAATTTACATTCTATTATTACAGTTTGACTTAACGTCTTCGTATAAAAAAAATAATTTTTTATCCATTTTATCGACGCGATAAAGCTATTGGAAACCAGAATAATATTCTGTGATTTTAAGAAAAATTAAATAATCTCTTTTCTTTACGAAATCGAAACAACCACGTTTGCGTGAATTACGGCGCAAAGAGCAAAGAGAAATTTTGCAACGTGTAACGGGCGACTAGACGAGTCGCACCTGTTGCAGAGAGCGAGGCCGGGGGACTTCGGCGATCGATTATTTAGCAACAAGCCGCAGAAATTGGAAGGTTAATTTCGCCCGCTTGTTTACGCTCGTTTGCGATAATTTTGTCCGCCTCCCCCGTTTCCCCTCCTCCTTTTCTCGCGCGAAACACACGCACTCTCGCGTCTCTTCGCCAAAGACGCACCGAGGCGATGCAACGTAACAGACAATAATTTGCAAAAGCGATTTTTTTCTAATTGCGAGAATAAGTTTAAAAATTATTCGGAATACTTTTTGTGATGCACAACTTGACACGGTCCTGAACGCGGAGATACCCCAGGCGCGTATCGGAAACCCATGGGAAAGAAAGAATCTGCAGGAAAGTCATCCGGCGGTATAACCGATGGGACCGCGCGATATCGCGCGGGGCCCCGGCATATAAAACTTACATACTCCGCTATCTTCGCAATCTGATGCCGCACGAACCAGTTTTCGGTACGCGGGACCGGATCTTCCTGCCAAGTCTCAGATCCGGTCGAGAAAATCGTTTCTCTTTATTTACCCATCTGTCTTTCTTACTTGCGCGAAATTATAACTACAATTTTATTTCTTAAGTCAGTTTTTTTCTTCAATTTCACAGTTTGCGTCTCTTTCTATATTTGTTTTTTATCTCTGATATGATTACATTTCTACATTTTTATATTTATTAATTTTTTAATTATTTTCTCATTGTGAAAAAACGCCATGTGTGTGAGATTAGGTATTCAATATTATATATTTAATAAATTTATTATTTAGAAATGTAATTATATAATTCTCAAAAAAAACAAATTGCATTTGTGTGTACGCGTCTCTTCTGTCTGTTTTTCTTCCTATATTTGTTCTAAAAGTGTAGAAATGTCCGCGAATCGGCGCCAATTGATCGAGAGAAAGCGAATCGTGCGCGTTCCTTAACTGAAAGTCGAGGAATTACTGGATATCTTTAATTGGGAAAAAAAACCATCTCTTTCTCTTTCTCTTTCTTCGGCTCGGTTTATTCTAATTTTACCGACGCACACAATTCTATATCATCACGTGGCATTTGTAATCTTATCTTTAAAAGGATATTTAGGTTCTCTATTTTTCTCTAAATTTTATAATTAATCCCGTTTATATTTTTCTTATCTTGTATGAAAACTATCTTGTTGTTTATCTGATATTAAGATAAACGGCAAGACGTTTTTTGACGCAAGATAAACACGAGAGTGAGAAGAACAGCTGGTTTTGATCTTTTTCTATTTAAGACTACGTGACTGCGATGACCGATGGACCAGGCCGATAACGTGGTTATCGAGTGATCTGGGGGCGTCCGAGTATCGTCGCGGCGATAAGACCACTGTTGAGTGATACGCCGTAATCTCATCTGACCCAGGACCCTCTTTCCCTCCTTCCCTCCCACCCTCTCTCTCTCTCTCTCTCTCACTCCCTTCCCTCACTCTTCTCCATCTCCGGCTTTTATCTGCTTCGCTCCACGCAACCAGCATTCTCCGGAGAGAACGTGCTATTCATTATTTATTCGCCTTGCGAGCGCGTTCTGGCTACTATCGCCCTGTTAAAATTGCACCGCCTCGCAGAGACGAAAACCGCGTGTACGATTTCGCGCAGCATCCGTGAAAGCTGTAGATAAAATTCTTGCTCAACAGATAGCGCGATAGCTTCAAGACAGCTCGATTTTTTGCTTTCTCTTTCTCTTTGAGTTATTTTGAATTTTATATCTGTTTAAAATGACAACACACACACGCGCGCGAACGCGCGCGCGGAGAACGTTATTTTGCACACTATGTGTTTCGTTCATCGATTAATTATAAATTTTTTAAAATTTCTTTTTTTATCTCTCTATGCTGCTTAGGCGTAAATTCATCTAGTGTAAAAAAATTATTTATTAATCTTTTTAATTAATTGCTTATAACGAACTTGGCAATTAGTAATTGATAAATTTCCACCGATTACGCACGAGTCGCATCTCCGAGTCGTCGCCGCGAGACGCTTATCTCGTCTCGTTTCCGTGTTTAATCGCGGCAACGTGTTTTCGAGACTCTGGACCAAACCGCGATTGCAGTTATATTTGCCGCGATAACGAAACGAGCAAGAGGAAAAAAATTATTCGATATTCCGCTATCGATCGAGGCATCGCGCTCTGCGCGAACTTCGCTTTCTCGGGGCGATAAAAATTCTTTTTTATTGTGAGAAAGCATCGAAAATAGAAAAAAAGCAAAATATATAAATAAAATAAAAAAGACCAAAAACAGAAAGTATATCTAATTAGATAGAGCAACTAGTTTGTAAACTATATATTTCATACACTTTTTTTGTATACAAAAAAAAATATCTGCACATCGCTAAAGTACACGTCTCGTTACTACATCAACGCTCGCGAATTTTTTCAAGTGAGATCGTGAGGAAATCTGATCGCGATCGGCGCCAAGGACGAATATCGAGTTTCCGAGTCGAGCGAGAGAGGCGCGCGCGCGCGCGCGCTCTCTCTTCGTGTCGGCCACCCTCGTCGGTTTCTCGCGTGATCCCGCGGCTTCGAGCGCGTCTTTCTCAACGGATCGTCATCCCGTGGCGAGATTCCGCGCGGTGACGCGAGTGCGATTTCTCGCGAACGATCGTTATCTCGTGGAGTGAGACGCGTCATCGTGCGCGCGTTGCGCGTCCCGCGAGTGCGAGAACACGCCCGCATCGCCTTGTAATTTACACTCGGGACGATGGCGAGCCGACAGAGAGACATATTTCTCTCGGTCGCGTTAAACAAAACGTCAAAAAACAAAAACTAGATCCATACACCAAGGACAATTTCAGTACAATTAAATAAAAAAAAAAAAAAAAAAAAAAACAATACTTTAATTTATTATTCCCCAAAGAACAATATGTAGTCGTGTGTTGAAAAGTATTGGCGTGGTAAGCAGAAATACGATAAAAAAAATATAATGAATATTAGCAATTCGCACGCGACACGATGCTGTTACACACCGCGCGTTTGTGCACACACTATTTTACAGGTAAACACGGACTGCTTTTTAGACGGCGAAGCGCTCCTCACCAATTAATCGATCTGCTTCGACGGTACTACACCGAGATCCATATCGCGCGCAACGCGAACTTCTTTTAACTCGTCAGACGAGGAAGAAAATAAGGAGAGAATAAGAAGAAAAATGTAATATAGTCTTTCTTTGCTGAAATTCAGATTAAAAAATGAGTAGAATAATAATACAAGCGAGAAAGTAACAATACCAAAACGAAAATCGTTAGAACCAAAGAAAGACAAAGAATATAAAACAAAAAAAAACAGTTAAAAATGAGAAGATAATTAAATATAGAATGGAAGGAGAATAAAATATAGCAAAGTAAAATAAAGATAAAGGCTAAAACCATGAGAGCGTAAGAGCAAAATAATAAAAAGATGTGAACAGATAAAAGAACAAAGAGAGAACGAAGCGGCGAAGCGTGGGGCAAACGGATGGAAGGGAGAGAGGGGGGAAAGGCAGGAAGAAAAATGATAGAGGGGTAACGGTAACGCGATGGCCGCGTTTATTATCGCGACATTCCGCGCGATTATCCCGCGAGCGCGTGGCTTTATCGCGCGCGATCGATCGCAAGATCGATATCTCGTCCGGCTGGCGCAGTTATCGC